ATTATATNTAATATATATATATATATATATATATATATCTATATGTGTGTGTGTGCTGATGTGTGTTATGTGCTTGCGTGTTTATATATATAGATATATATACGTGTGTGTATGTGTTTGTGTCTTTGTGTGTGTTATGTGCTTGTGTGCTGATGTGTGTTATGTGCTCGCGTGTTTATATATATATATATGTGTGTGTGTATGTGTTTGTGTCTTTGTGTGTGTTATGTGCTTGCGTGTTTATATATATATATGTGTGTGTGTGTTTGTGTGTATATGAATATGAATATAGCTATGTTGCTCCTTATACATAGGTACTTATGTTTTTCATGTTGGTGTATGCATTTTGATCCCCAGTACCTGTACCGAATTGGAACTATACAGGGACATGATCACGGGCATCTCACGTATGAGTAAAAGTATGCCATATCTATCTTCTTAAAGACCGTTATTAAATTTAGAATTTAGGTCATTGTCTAGAATTTAGATTTCGCATCTTGTATCAGATATTCTCAAGGCTTGATTCGTATTAGCTAAAACAGTGAATCACGAAACGATTCGCAAAAACAGCGTCCATGAAGCTCAGTGTACTTGTCCACCCTGCAGCGTATTTAATTCATTTATATCCCAATTGGTGTGTGCCATTTTAGAAATCAAATAATGTTTGTGTGTACAGGAAATCAATTGATATCTGTAGCCAACCAATTATGTGATATCCGCAGTGGAGACTCCATTGATGTTTGAACTCATTGTGGTGCACTTAGAGCCTGCGCTGGCTCAATGCTTATTTAATATCTCTACCCCGTTATACAAACAATTGAATTATTTGTCCAATCACATACCAGAGATGGGACGGGCTATGATGCCGATGTCGACGATGCATGGTTCCGAGTCAACCATCCACTGCACGAGCCTGTGAATGGGCCTGCCAAACAGGTACTAGACCGCAATCTCAGTGTAGGGCATGTGTTAAAAGACTACCTCGAACGACTGCCTCGATACAGTGTATTACTGAGGTAGCATATTAATCGTGCCAATAGTCCTGTCAGACAATCTGTACATCACACACAGGGTTCCCAATAGAGTCTGTGTAGCGTGGCATGTAAGTTCAGTATATACCAATTATCGAGCCACGTACTTTGTTTCTATGGTCGTATAAGTCAGGCGATGCTTCACAGAGTTCTCCGTAGAATATGTGTAGTACTACATAGCTGTTCGGTATCATGTGACGTTACTATACATTCTACCTACGATTCTGTCTAACATGCACCATACCGCCATCTTGGAAAGGTCGTGTGTTGTGTGACAGGGATGTTCTGTGCCATTTAACCCATGGTTTGGCATACCCTTCGGGAAGTCTGTTCTGTCCAGTATACAAGGGTTTACTATAGTCGGTGAGCAATAACATAGCTGCTATTAGCGACAAAATGCCTTGCATCTACCAGTTTGTTAGGCACGACGAACTTGACTAGCACGGCTCGAGATAACTTTCTCCGGGATCTATCAAGCACATGCGCAAGGGGTTGGACATGTACAAGAGCATTCACACGCTTTAACATATTTCGCATGTCCGCTTATATATATATATATATATATGTATGTATATGTATATGTATATATATATATATATATATATATATATTATGTATATGTATATATATATATATATATATATATATTATATATATATATATATATATATATATATAGTATATATATATATATATATATATATATATATGTGTACGTATATGTATATATATATATGGGTGTGTGGATGTGGGTGTGTTTAATCGTGAACAACCTCTTGTATATGCGAGTTGGGTGTTGGCATCAGACGCTGCCAGTACACTCACACCAGGTCAAGCATTCGTGTACAAGGCTGCATGGGCAGTAGAGCATACAATGCACACATAACGGCGCGTGTGTATGTCTTTTCCCCGTCTGCCTACTTATCAATTCGTATATCTCTCTCCCTCTCTCACTCTCTCTTTCTCACACATTGTCGCTCTTTCTCACACACTCCCTCTCCCTCTCTCTCACTCTCTCTCACTCTCTCTCACACACAATCTCTCTCTCTTTATCACACACACTCCCTCTCCCTCTCCCTCACTCACTCTCTCTCTCACACACATACTCTCTCTCTCTCTTTCTCACACACACTCCCTCGCCCTCTCTCACTCTCTCTTTCTCACACACACTCCCTCTCACTCTCTCACTCTCTCTTTCTCACTCACTCTCTCCCCCTTTCTCACATGCGCCTAGGCACCGTTGTTGGTGGGCTCTGCGCACTCTGACAATGAGGTGGCGTCAACTGCTGGCGCATCCAAGCCAAGCGTGTGTGACTCCATCAAACTCAGGAACAAGCAGATAACCAAAAGCAGGTAAGCGTCAACAAAGACACCTGACCTTATGCAGCCTTCCCAAGAGTTCCTTCTGGTTGCGGCCTTTTTCATATATGGTGTGACTGATCCCGTCCGCTGTGTGTGCTGTTGCATGTGTGCATGTGGCCTATGTGGTTGTGTGCTGTCTGTTGTCTGTGATGTCCTGCTCGTGGCTCAGATGGACTGTATTCGACTAGTTAGCCTGGGCGGTTTTGTCGCGGTAGTACTGCCTGGTGCGTTCCTGTATATGTACCGTCTGTGGGTTGCCTTTTGGAATCTGTAGTAGTACAAAAACCGGCTGAGATTGTATAGAGACCTCCATCATCTCCTAAGTGCGGACCATACTTGTACGTCGACATAATCTGCTACTTGATACGTGCTTGTTCCTGTATTTAAAGCGTGCGTATCGCGTTACGCGAGTGGTTCATCTCTGTTAGACGTATGCATGCGTTTACGATGCACACACACCATTACCTCATACGGTGCTATACGTTGTCCGAGACATTGGGCAGGAGACATGGCAACTGAAACTGTGCAGAATGTCTGCACCTGCCTCGACATTTGAATCCCATTGGGCTACATACGAGCAGTCACGCTCTTCACTTTCACACGACCACGAGTACTTCCCTTTCGCTAATGGGCCTGCCTGCTTGTTGTTGTCTGTCAAGCGTGCTCTGGCGGTATGTATGTGCATGCAGTGTACCTGTGCATCCGGACAGGACAAGATAGATGGCTATCGGCCAAGGCTGCAACACACACTGCACACTGCACACAAACAGAGTTAACCCGCACAGCACCCCCCAATCATCTGCGTATCAGACCACACAGTCACTCTGCGCATCAAGACCACACAGTCACTCAATCCGTTATTCCTTAAGTTATATTCTATCTCCATGGCAACCATTGCCTTGCCATTCAACTACGATTGATTGCCATCTGTCACCACACTCAGGGCCTCCGATAACAGCCTGGAGGAACTGGCTCAGCGATTCCTGGACATGTCGCGCAAAGAGAAGCAAGACACGCGTGCATGCTCACATCCGTCACTCGGTATGTATGATGAAAATACTTGATGTATAAGTACAGTGCACATGAGGTGGGTGAAAGTGGTAGTTGCATTATATGTGAGTCAATCGCCGGCTTCTATCGTCAAGGGCTTTACCTGGGCTGTGGCTATATATTTATATATATATATGTGTGTGTGTGTGTGTGTGCGTGTGTGTGTGCATGTGTGTGTGTATGTTGTGCGTGTATTGTGCATGTGTGTGCGGATATATATATATATATGTGTGTGTGTGTGTGTGTGTGCGAATATGAATATGAATATGTGAAAACATGTATGTACACACGTGTCTGTGTGTGTGAAAATATGAATATGTGAATACGAGTATAGACACACACATGTGTGTGTGTGTGTGTGTGAATATGAATATGTGAAAATGTCTATCTACACTTGTGTGTATGTGTGTGTGTGAATGTATATGTGAACACGTCTATTTACACATGTGTGTCTGTGTGTGAGAGGTGGTTGCTTCGGTGTGTATGCACAATTACACATATATGTATTCTGTTTCTCTATGTCTTCGTCTGTATGTGGTATTGTGTATTTATGTAAACTGCGTGTATCATAATATATTTTTTACACAGGTATAGTCTGTTCGTGTGATAAGCATGGTTTCTTTGAGAAGAAGCATACCACGTTTAAATGGGCTCCCATTCAAACTCCGTTTGGCTTATTTCGAACTAAACGTGCCTATACATGGTACTTATTTCGAGATCGATACTTCTACCTTTGTAAGTGGACAAGGGACTATTACATGGCACCTTCTGAAATCCTCACCGCAAGTTCTTTAATTGTTCGCACTATCTGTACGGGCAGGTGACTTACCAGACGCCCACACCACCGATGATCACAACGTCAGCGAGGCCAAGGAGAGTGCAGCCAACACCGAGTTCATTTTGAACGACCATGCCGGCGACAATGGGGAACATGGGGGTGAACATGTGTCTGACAGGCACAGGGCACAGGCACGGCCAGATGATGTGTTATCAGAAGACAAAGACACACGTACAGACATCGTCGCGGAGGCGCTGGCACCTGGGGCAAAGGTTGCAGAGGTACACCCACTGAGAGATGCGCAGGAGGACGGGCTCGACCGTGAAGAAGCCTATGATTGTCTCGAGCGGCATGCACATGAGACCGGGGGTCCGGGAAATGGTACCGAACATCCCGTTAGTTTGCCCTGTGTGGATGATTCGGAAGAGGAAGGTGAGCCCGATACTGGAGCTAAAAAGGACAGCCATGCGGTGTACAATCCCCCTGCACGACACCATGGTGATTTGTTGGACAACGATGAGGATGATGAAGATGGTACCAAGTCGGCTGGGATTACTGAGCGCAGCCAAATGGCGAATCAAAACACCGGCCATGGCACTGTAGACGTGAGCGATAGCGAAGCTTGTGCTAATATATCGCGGTATTCGGATGTAGATTTGCAACACTCGGACGATTTCGACAACGGTGAGCATGTCGTATATTCCGATAATGATGAGTATCATCGAGCTGGCAAATTCGATGAATTGTCACAGCAGTCCGATGTGTCCTTTGCGCACAATTCGGACCTTGACGGTCCTTTTGAAGGACTAGAGGGCAGCGCGCCAGCAACCTTTGCGTACGATTCGGACTTCGACGCACATCAAGGGTTAGAGAGCAACGTATCAGCGCGTGAGTGTGAGAGTGAGCAGGAGGAGAGTGAAGAGGAAGATGAGGATCTGATGCTGCTGTGTGCCGAGCACAACACGCGGATAGGCAAGCCGGAAGACGGGGATGACCTTATACTGGCCTTTGCCGAACACAACAGACGTACGTGTGTGTGCGTATATATATATATATTATATATATATATATATATGTGTGTGTGTGTGTGTGTATGTGTGACTGATACTATACACATACTTGTACAGTAGAAACACACACACAC